CTCTGTTAAACAGAAATTGGGGGGGGGGATAAACAGGGGCTCTAATAATTCAGGGGGGCTAATAATTATGACTTCAACCATATATATATATATATATATATACATCCATGTTGCAGTAAGTGGATCACTTGCATGCCCATCATCATAAGAAGATACGTTTTTTTGACACCAAAAGCTACACTGTAAAATAAAACATGAAATAATGGCCGTTAAATTACAGAATTTTACTGAAAATAGCAGACATTAAATTACTGAAATTTACCAGGAATTTAAATTTAAGGAAATTTCTGTAATTTAATGTTCACATATTTACATAAATTTATTTAAATTAATGTTTGTTATTTTACAGTAAATGTCTGTAATTTAACATCTGTTATTTTCCTATACATTTCTGTAATTTAACTGCCGTTGTTTTATGTTTTTTTCCAGCACCTCAGCTGCCGAAAGTTTTTTTTAAATTACGGATTTTTTTGCACACTGGGTGTAAAAGTGTAAAAAGTATCATTAAATAATAATAAACATTTTTGGGTGTAAACTTTACATTGAGGTCCCATTTTTCTCCCTTACAATTAAACCATGCATTGTTTAAATAATTTGAGTACATTTGCTCCAGGTTAAAAAAATAATAGGCATGAATGCATGTTTATACTTTCAAACAATATATACTCTAGATACTCTAGTAGTAATAGTAGTAAACTTTATTGTCCATGACGGGCATCACCATATTGCTGCCGACATTCCATAAAAACAAACAATAAAAACAATGCAAAATACAGTTACAATAATTATAATGCTAATTAAGATAAACTCTTGTTAAATGAACCCATTGAAACAGGATTTCTTATATCGGTTCAACCAACACTTAAGGACCCTATATCTCCTACCAGAGGGAAGCAGTTCATGAGAAAATAAAAAAGTTGGATCATTCAGAATCCTTTTTATTAGGCTTTCCATTTAAGAGATGCATCAACACTGTACAGTTGGGCTGCCAAACCACAATGTGATACCATACCTGACAATGCTTATAAAACAACATCATAAGATTCTTGTTATTCTTGTAGCTTCTTGCTGTAATAAATGGATCCTAAATTACCTAAAAATTGCATTTTCTTTAAACGCTTAAATCTAAATAACGACTTTTTGGGGGAAACTTTACTTTGAGGTTCCCATTGTACTCCCGTACAAAACTGTGCATTTTTTTAATGCATTTCTTCCTGGTTAAAGGCACCTAAATTGGACTTTAAACAATATAGGCCTCTGCTTTTCTGAAGTTTGAAAGTTTATTCTCACATTCTTTATTTATACAATCTAAACACAGTAAACCAATGAAATATTTCAATTCAAAAACAACCAGGTTCTACTTGAGTAACGTTTTTCCTGTGATGGCGATGCGGGAAGATCAGCAGCCATTACTCTCCAGTCTTCATTGCTACACGAAGCATGACTGTTTCCTCAGATATGCGCTTGAGTAAAAGCATTCAGCTCAACAGCCCTCAAGTAAAGTACAAATTCCTTAAAATAATATGCCCTTGGTTTAAGGAGGATTCCTGTGGACAGGTGAAAGGGGACAGCACAAAGGCCTTGGACCGTGCTTTTTTCCTGCAGCTGCACGTTCGGTTCAGCTCTGCCCCAAAGGACATATCAGTGCCTCCGCAGTAAACACTCCTACTATTTGTCCAGGGCCTCTCATGAGACCAGCTCCATCCTGCACCCTTAAATAGCTTTAGGCCACAACAAAGAGTACAAACTGGGGGAGGAAGAAGGTGAGCGAGAGAGCGAGAGGGCAAGACACAGAGGAGGGAAAAGGGTGAGGATGTGTGAAGAGGGGCTAAGAGCTTCTGTCACTTCGAGTGTGAACACAGAAGAAGCGTCCGCCGATGAGGACGGACGCGCTCATAAATTCAGCCAGAGTGAGGGAATACACAGACAAAGAGGAGGCATAAAAAGGAGGCGACGCTGGCACACTTGTGGGAGGAAGCCGCCATGCTAAAGCACTGTAGCGCTTATGCCGAGCCCAATACGCAAACACCTAATTGACACCAATGTCTCAATCATCACACTGTCAGCACAACAAATGCTCAGTCTGACCTGACCCTGACAGACATCTTATCAGCCCAATCAAACAGACCAAATGAGTCTGAAAACCTCTCACCACAGGCAACAAAGAGCCTTGGCTTTATACGTTTTGCATGCCAAACTACATGCTGTCTTCTCTATTGTTTGGGGAGAATGCTTTGTGAAGAGACCAGCATGCCTTCAAGACATTAGCTGAGCCACACTCTGAGAGACAAAAGGCTTAGGTAATTCTCCCTTTTTTTTCTCCTCCCTCTCTCTCTCACATGGGTGACTTGGGCTCTTCTTTGCTGCTCAAGTCTGACTGCGTTTAATGAACGCCGCAAAGAGCGATGACAAGAAGGGCCTGGGGGAGGGGAGATAAAAATCAGGCCCTACAGGTGGAGCTGGGTTTCTCTATCAACACCGCCATTGTTTCGCTCTTCAACCGCCGCACTGCTAAGAGCCGCAACCTGCCCCGATCCTGCTGACATCATCGTGGGTATGGAGAGAGGAAGGACGTTCAAGGCTTCTGAATCTCATGCACATTTGCTCGTGCTTGTTTGGGTTGGTTGTGCTGGAAATGATCGACGGAGAGTCGTCGGTGACGCAGGCGCAAACATTAACCCTAGAGGCTTCTCTGCATTCTTAGACACTGTGTCAGGCTGAGCAACACCCCGATTGACTTCGCCAACTCCAAGAGAGAAGAATAAGTGGTGTCAAATGATCCTGTTAATCATGGTTATGTTAACTGAAGTTGCTCGGAATTTTACACAAACATTTCTGCAATCATCGTGCGAAGGAAATATAGGCCTACATAAATATGAACTATATATATATGTATATATCAACGTTTATGTTTACTAATACATGTTTACAGTATTTTTACACATGCCTGCAGTTTTTATTTTTATTTTAAAAAGTATAAAGTAACAAGAAAACTGTAAAAAAGTATGTACATATTATGCTAAATAGTTTTTTTCTTTAACAAATAGACAAATAAATAAATACCCTCATACAAAATCCTATTACTTTTTTCTAAACATGGTGATCTATAAGGAGATTTGGTCCATATTGACATAATAGCATCACGCAGTTGATGCGAATCTCCCGTTCCACCACATCCCAAAGGTGCTCTACTGGTGACTGTCGAGGCCAATTGAGTACAATGAACTCAAGTATCCATGCTTTCATGTTGTCATAGAACTGCCGCTCAAAGGATATTTTCTAATTTTTGGACCATTCTCTGTAACCCTTGGAAATGATTGTAGTTCTAGGTTCCAGTAGATTATCAATTTCTGAAATAATTAACAAAGATGCCATATTTTAATTCACCTTAATCACCTTTCTTTCCCACTCTGATGCTTGCTTTGAACTGCAGTCGATTGTCCTGACCATGTCTACATGCCTAAATGGATTGAGTTGGTGCCATGTAATTGGCTGATTAGAAATTTATATATATATATATATATATATATATATATATATATATATATATATATATATATATATATATATATATATATATAAGCAGTGGCACATTAGGTAGTGCTGTCGCCTCACAGCAAGTTTGCATGTTCTCCCTGCCTTCGCGTGGGTTTCCTCCGGGTGCTCCGGTTTGCCCCACAGTCCAAAGACATGCGGTACAGGTACATTGGGTAGGCTAAATTGTCCGTAGTTGTGTGTGAATGTGTGTGTAAATGTTTCCCAGTGTTGGGTTGTGGCTGGAAGAGCATCTGCTGTGAAAAAATTGCTGGATAAGTTGGCGGTTCATTCTGCTGTGGCGACCCTGGATTAATGTAGGGACTTAGCCGAAAAGAAAATGAATGAATGAATGAATATATATATATATATATATCTATATATATATATATATATATATATATATATATATATATATATATATATATATATATATATATATATATATATCAGAATTACTACCCCCCCCTTTATTTTTCCCCAGTTCTAAACATAATAGTTTTAATAACTAATTTCTAATAACTGATTTATTTAATCTTTGCCATGATGACAGTACATAATATTTGACTAGATAATTTTGAAAACACTTATCCACATTTAAAGGCTTAACTAGGTTAATTAGGTTAACTAGGCAGGTTAGGGTAATTAGGCAAGTTATTGTATATTGATAGTTTGTTCTGTAGACTATCAGAAAAAATATTGCTTAAATAGGCTAGTAATATTGACCTTAAAATGGTTTCTAAAAAATTACAAACTGCTTTTATCCTAGCCAAATTAAAACAAATAAGACTTTCTCCAGAAGAAAAAATATTATTAAACATACTGTGAAAATTTCCTTGCTCTGTTAAACATCATTTGGGAAATATTTCTAAAAGAAAAAAAATCAAAGAGGGGCTAATAATTCTGACTTTAACTACACACACACACACACAGATTTTTGTTGAATAAATAAAACTAGTTATAAAATATTTGTACAAAGAACAAATGTGTCCACTCTGAGAAACTTCAAATCGTTAAAGTATTCACTCTTTTTCACTAACCGTGACTAATGTAATCAATAAAGGAATACATATAATATTGCTAGATCTCGAAAGATCTTTGATCATTTCATATATAAAATATTTTTAAAAATATGAACTGCCATATCATAATAATATATCAGCTGCAATACCAGAGTATTTTTGTGAATGTCTTGTTACTGTTTTTTTTTTTTTTTTGAAAATGATATTGCAGTTCTTATTTTTCTGCTTCTTAAAACATTTTGTCAGTCATTTTGTAAATAATTTTAAAAAATTATAGAATAATCAAATAATGCTATGTTAAACTATTCACTGGTTACTTTACATATATGGTAAGATTAATCACAGTTAATCGAATTGATGTTTTTTCCTGTAAGAATTACCAACAGTTTTCACAGAATGATGGAATTGTGCGAAGAAACAGACAGACAATTTTGAGATATTACTTGCGGATGAATTAATTTAGCTGCCACTTTATTTTAACGATACACCATTTTTTTGGTACACCCAAACATGACGGAAGACTGACAGATGTGTTGCAGCTATTGAATTGGGCCTGAAAATAGATGGACAGGAGGCCGCGGATGGTCCAAGAGGATGCAAGACCCTTTATTGTATTGTTGTTATTCCCAGAGAGACCTCCTTTGATAGGGTTTTTTTTCCACTCTCTTGTACCCCATCAATCTTTTTCCAATTACCTGTCTTGTCTCCCCCAAATCTGTCACAATTGTTGCCTTGGAAACTGGTAGCGTCCAGAGCCATTATATTTTGGTCCATTGTTCGATTTTGTGTTGATGTGGCAACATTCCCCCAGACGAACAATCCTGAAGAAGAAGAAAAATCAGGTTGGGAAGCACTTGAATCAGATGTAATCAGTACTGTAACACAGCTGTGCTGTCTTTGAATGAAAATATTTGATACAAATTTCCAATAGCCTTCGATTCGCCTCCATAATAACTGTCATGGTCGGTATGTGGGGTGCTGTGCTTTAAAAAAAAAAAGTCTCTGCCCTCAAGGACATCTCCGTACTCTGGAAGCCCGGGGTACTTTGAAAAGCAGCAGAAGTGACAAGACTCCCTCTTCCAGTCCAGACTGTCATGCATATACATATACACATACACACAGAGACTTACACACTCACACAGAGGACTCGCAGAATGTCATTAGACGCCTGGTATCCTGTGTGGTGAGCTGTCAGCTTGTCATCTTTCAGTCGGTGCACTCGACTGGACAGCGCCGAGCATGCTGGGATGTGACAGCCAGTAAAATGGAGTCCTGTCATTACTTTTCCCCACACCTGCTGTTCTGGTTCCCTGAGAGGCTGCAGACAAATAAACATATAAACAAACAATCTTACCAGCGTTCCCAGTGTTTAGAGCCAAATGTGGAGAATGTGCATTTGTGTTAATGAATGGACGAGATGTCAAGTTTCAGTTTGGTTCATTTGCGGATTTTTTTCACTAAATTCCATCAATTCGCGGGTTGTGGCGTTAACATGACACCTTACAAAATGCATGTCAGCAGAGGAAGACAACATACAAATATCAGCAAGTTGTCAGTGGCCCTCAGGCTATCCGTGATGTGAATGAAGACAAGAGAGAATCACAAATAATGTTGTGGGCAATATTATATCATATGTGCTCTGACGGTGCCTGTCCTGCAAATCTAGAAGTATAAAAAGATTAAAAAGAACATTTTAAAACCAACAAATTAAAATCCACACTAAAGGCTCCTTCACAATAAGGATGACAATGATAAAGATTCATTCATTCATTCATTTACTTTTCAGATTAGTCCCTTTATTAATCTGGGGTTCCCAGAGAGGAATGTACCACCAACTTATCCAGCATATGTTTTACGCAGCGGATGCCCTTCCGGCCGCAACCCAACACTGGGAAACACCCATACACTCCCATTCACACACATACAATGAAGCTTATTCAACTAACCTATACCGCATGTCTTTGGACTGTATGGAAAACCGGAGCACCCGGAGAAAACACACGCCAACACCGGGAGAACATGCAAACTCCACACAGAAATGACAAATAGCCCAGCCGGGGCTCAAACCAGCTACATTCTTGCTGTGAGGCGATTGTGCTACCTACTGCACCACCATGATGCATAATAAAGAAATCATAGAATTGTAATGACATCACAACAATTGTAATTATAACTTTGGAATTACAAGGTATTATCTAACATTTTTTGTCAAAATGTGATTATTCAAAAAGAGGATTTCCTTAAATGAAATGTAAAAACTTTCAAGGAACACTCCACTTTTTTTGGAAATATGTTTATTTTACAAACCCTTGTCGCTGGGGCAGCACCTTTTTATGGAACAGATTCGTACCTTAAGACAAAGAAACAAATTTGTATCATTGCAGTTTGTGCCTTTCAAGGACATGATTTGTTACATGGGAAACCAAAGTTTATCTTTGGTTTTTAAAATACACATTACATTACATTACATTAAATAAAACCTGCAGATACAATATTGTACCTTCATCAAAGGTAAAAATCTGATCCATGAAGTTACCACTACAGTGATAAGACACTTTGTACCTTAACAGTGTCAATTGTGTTCCTTCAAGAACTATTTAAAAGCATTTTGCTATACCAAAATATGTCAATTTATGTTCAGTAAATATAAAACATCAAATGCATTTTTATTTATATATATTTTTTTAAAAGTACCTTTTCCATTTACAATAAAAAAAATAAAAAACACTTTTGCATACATTAAAAGATCTGTTTTTTGCTAAACATTTCACAACACTTTTCATAAAAATGTTACAGAAATACATTCTCTCATGTACAATACAATTTTTTTTCCTCCAATTTTCACACAATACCTTTGTAATCACATAAAAGTTCATTTAATTTATTTAATTTTAAAATAGAAGTAGAAATATGCAAAATAATTGTAATGAGATATGCACAATGTTTGATTTCTTTTACAATAGTAAAATGTCTGCATGAACACTTTGCATATGCAGGACTGTTGCCAGCTAGCATGTGTAGTGGAAAGCAAATGCCAAAAGGTGCGGATATCAATAATAAAACTGCATTTATCAAAAAAGCTTACCAAATATTTATTAAAAATGTCTTAAATGTTTAGTTTAAAATACCTATAGTTTTGTTTTACCAGTTGTTTTGTATTATGAAACTTAATAATGAATGTTTATGAGTTTCTTTAAACATATGCTTTTAAATGATGATTCATATTTTAATATGGAAAATATTCATCAATTCACTTTGCCTTTGCAGTCATATTTATTTTCATAGGTATTGTAATAAAAAAGGAGTTGTCCAACACATATGCACCTTTTTATGAGAACAATTGTGTACCTTCATTTCTATTGTACTATAAAAAGTGCAGAACAGTATCATACAAGGTCTTTTCTGAACCATATAAGGTACAACTTTTACAAAGGTATAACACTGTTCCTTGAGGAACATTATTTGCACCGCCGTGTACCTTTTTTCTGAGAGTGTAGAGGTAAACAGTTTTACTGTTTGAATCCATTAAACACTTTTAGCTTAGCTTAGCATAAATTATTGAATTACCACCTCAACCATTTAATTAAAGCTAACTCTCAGCATAATGATTTTATGTGGTTCCTGTAAATAATTCCCAACTAAGTAATACCAAAGACCGCAGAATACTTAAATGGACTTTGGTAATACGTAACTGTGTTGTTTAAAATCATTGAGCCTATTCCAGCCATGGTACAAAGAGCTCTTTGATTATTACACCAGATTGAAAGTAGAACCTAGAAAATAGCAACTTTTTATTTTCTGTCTGTCTTAGTACATGATGTAACTACAGAAGCATCGAGCCAAATTTAGCCGAAATGCTGATAGTCTAATCTGATTTAATAATTTATGCTAAGCTAAGCTAAAAGTGCTCCTATAATGCTCGATATCTCAAAGCCACTACGAATACAGCAAGAACTTTATATAACCAAAGTATCTGTAGTTAAAGGTGCAGTAGGTGATTGTCTACAGAAACATTTTTTGTTGTTCTGGTGGAAAGTCTCCAGAACAGTATTTATATGTATTTTTACATTCTGGGTAAGGCATTAGACTTAAAAAAATTATTAAATATTGTCAGGCCGATAATTTCTAAACCTCTGATAAGTAGCCCAAACTGTCTGTGAACATATGTAGATTTGTACATCTGCGCAGCCGTTAATGGAGATCAGCCATTTGCACAAGCATGCCGCATTCACGTGCAGACGAAAGAGAGAGAGCGATGAAAACAAATGCTGAATCGAAACTTTTTAAAATCCAGAATCAATATTAGGGTTACTTTTGCACGCTGGAGGAAGGATGACACCATGGCTGAAGTATTTCTTTTAGACAGGTAATGTTTTAAATCTGTTTTAGTCATGCAAAGCTGATGTGGATTGTGTTGTTTTAGAAATGGGTTATTTGCACAGAAGTATTGTTCAGCCACTGAAATCTTCTGGCGAAAGATTGATTTGACTATTTTCAATTTTTACAGGACCTTTTATGGCATTGATAATGTAGATTTTTATTTAGTTAAACAACAAAACATCAGTAAATAATGATATTCCACCTAGCTTGCTTCACTGAGGTGAAGTTGGTTTTATATTTACATTGGTTCATTTTTGAACGATGGCAACATGTGATACGCTCCCTATACTGTTTACCATGCTACTCTGAATATTTGCTGTAAAATAGCATGTATAGCTTAGTAATAAGTGTAACTCCTACATGCCGCTGGCCAACCACTAAGCACACAGTATTTGTTTTTGGACAAAGAGCGTGAGAGAGTGAGACCAGCAATCCTTGTATGAAATATTGCACATTATGACAAGTTTTACTGAAAGCGTGCAAGATATATTACAGTTTTTCATTCAGAATTGTTGTATTATAAAGTACTATGAAGTTTTCTAACTGGCGAATGACATGATCAAGTGTGTTGTCTACTGTCATCTTTAAGGTGCGCATTCGTGATTTCAGGAGACGTGGCTTTGGACAGCAGGGGAGGGACCGTGTTTACAATGCTATATGCTAATGGATAAAATTTTGGCAGATCACCGTCTGCACCTTTAAATTTATTTTTATTTTTCTTGGTGGAATCGGCCTAAACAATCCACCTGAATGTTGTCATCTATCTCAATTGCTGGGTTCAAATGCTAATGAAAACAACAGTTCTAATACACACACTCACGCACTTACAGAGTACTGTAATACTATCGAAAAACACGATCGTAAATGTTTATATCCTTGTCTAATCTCAAAGGGTCAGTCTTTTATGAATCATTAAAATATTGTTGTCTGGGATGCAGACACTGTTGCACTCAATATGTTTGTAAAAGATTCACTTTAATGTGTGATATATGAATAAATAGTGTTCATTAACAGCTGCTGAAATGGAAACAGTATTCTTTGTGCAACACATTAACCAGCAGATG